TGCATAACCTAACTGCAATGGTAAAATACAGGTAGGTTACAAGCAAAAACCTTTGAATGAGGTCAGCAGACGGACAGAAGAGTTAAGATCTGCAGTGCCATTCAACATCCAGATCCCCGTACCTACCTCACACCAGGAACAACATTTATCGAAACCTATACACTAATGTAGACATGGTGATAGTAGTAAACCTCCAACTTTTTCGTCGGAAAAGGTCAAAAGGCCACAAAAACGTGGTTATTAACCGATGCGTGTACTCACGTTAGCAATAGCTGACACCGAAAATAGACCACACTGTCATGAACAAAAAGCGAATTTCTGATGAACATAGTGTCTGTTACGCATCAGTGTCAGTGGTTCATACAGCTTATAGGGTAATATCTCCCTGAGATGGGTCCAATGTGACTGTGATAAGCATGCATTACGTAATTACTACAGCTTCATGATAAAGCATTTACGTGAGTGGAAGTATCACATGTATACAGAATGCTAGAAAATACACACTGGAACCGCCATAAAATTAAGAAACCTGGCACACTCTAAGACAACACGAGATTCAAGGTCTTAAAACCTACTCACAGAGGAAGATCAAGCCTAATGGACACAAAGCCAAAAGTGCAAGCAAACACCATTCATCTTTTCGAACAAACGATTTGGAGAAATGAAGAGACTTGAAGAACCAGATTATGTCTAGGGGAACTAAGCTAAAGTTAGTACAGAAAATGGTTGGCCAAAAACATTGGCCATCAAGCCCAATACTTTGAATACACAGGGCAAGAAAATAGACTCCGTCACCTTGTTAAATGCTCTAACATAAACAAACTCACTCCTAAAAAAGAGAGATCACTGTGGTAAGGAGAAACATCATAGTTGATTCTAAATGATAGGAGAAGAACTGATAGCAGTAATTTTACGCCGACTCTCCGAAGGAAACAGAGTCCTTCGAGAGATGCCACCACCACTCAGAGTGTCATTTATATCAGAGAAACAACCAGATGACATACTTCTGCTGTCACGCCGACCAAATATCGCAACTTCTTTCGAAATAAGGATGACGCCAGATAAACCGTGGGCCATCAAAGGGTCGAAAAGATACTCCCCTCTTAGTGATCTTTACAAAGCTGCAACCGAAATGGAACATGAAATACTACCAACTGCGATTGCCACCCCTATGATTTCGAGCAATGGAGATGACTAACATCAAAAATGGGACTAGAAAGTACGCCAGCCGGTAGTGTAAGCAAATTATCATGACTGGCTCGCTTACAAAGCGTTTCTACACCCTGCTAGCTAGCTGTGCACTTCGACTGTAAGGCATCACTTAAAGAGGATCTTACAGCATGGTACCGCATGAAAGACTGAACGATTTGGTGAAACATGATGTTGTGAAAGCAAACGAAAGTACACTGGAAAAGAAGTTAGAAGGCCACTTATCAGAGAACTGCAGAGCAAGTTAGTAACAAAAGAACTATCTCGTGAAACTATCCTTGTAATATCACAATAAACGGTGCTCTCTTTGCACCAACATAAGGATGCCAGAAAGATTCAAAAAGGATGCTTGCCAGCTCATCAAGGTGTGGCGATCAGCATTCAAAGTAACAGCATAAAAAACTACGCAAATCATTGCAGTGCACTAGGCTCAGAACGTAGCTTCTTGAACTGCTTTTGCAATAATGTAAGAGGCCTTAGAAATGAACCGCTGGAGACGACAATAGTGTGCCGTCATCCATATGTGGATACTATTTAATTTTTCTGTGATTTTACTACGAAGACACAACGCTCATGCAACATCTTGGAATTTCTGTAGCTGACTTGACCTTATTCCGAAAAGAAAGACATTCCAGAGCAGGAGGAGGAATGGACATCTACATCACCACGTCCATAATAACTTATGAAGCAACTGAACGTGTACCCAACCGAATGTCACATTTTGTTGTGATACTAATTCAACTTAAATTAAACAACGCACCTACTGGGGTCGGTATATAGGTCTCTGATATGTACAATAGAGTATAAGGAATGGGTGTCTACTACTATTTTGGTATTTACTTCAGCAGCTTATAACCTCATAGTCTTCGCTGAGGACTACAACCCACAGGCACTTAACTTAAGATCAAGAGGATATTACAGGGACCTCGAAATGTCTTTATGACATCAGAACTAATAGAAAAAGTTGGAGAAAACACCCGATGAAGACCAGATAGGAATGGATAGTGACCTGATTACAATCTAATTAAACGATGACCTTTTAGTGGACTATATCGGTGTCTAACCCTTCTAAAGCAAAGCAGTCACAGAGAAGTAAGATTGTTCTTGATAGCTAACGAGGACCTGCCAATGGTTTAACCTGAACCACTCCACTGCTACCAGAAAGTAAAGTACCTGACCATAAAGAACTAATCCCTAAACACGTCATGGCCACGAGAATGGTATTTTCCTTCAACAGAAGAACACTGGATACATGTAAAGTATATTATTTGCAACACTATCAAAAGAAATGTGCCGAAAGTAAGCAAGTGTTCATTAATAAAAGGCTTATGAGTGACCCATGTGACATAAAAGTAAATAAAGGGAAAAAAGAGGTTTTGATACAATCTATGCACATCTTGCAGAGATTAGAACTACCTCAGCCTTAGGAGGTTATGCAACGTATTTTGCATAATGAAATGCGACAAGATGTTTAGATGCAGTAGTTATCTCATTAAAAAGCTAAGTTAAAACCTAAATTTTTAATATCGGTTTGGGTTACAACAAAAATCTGCATAAACCCTATCATAGGACTGGGCGGTGAAGCCTTGAGCAGTATAGTGACAGCGGAATTGTTGGTCAACGGATTTAACGAGGAGCTCAACATAGTAATTCGATTGCTACCAACGTTTGGTAGTGGACAACAATTTCATGGTTGTGAAACAAAGCTAAGGGATGTAAAAATTTCACCGGCCCAAGTGTTTGAAGAATCATCCACATTCAGGAAAGGAAAATTTCCAGGCTTTGACGACGTAAGACTGACGGCTGTATGAAGTCGTGCTAAACATTTCCATATGCAATCTGTTTGGATACTCTTTGCAAGTATATGAACTCCCCGAAGAATTCAAGCGCTGTATCGTATCACCAATCTTCTGGGAAGGAGGCCAAATATACCCATGCAATTGCTGACCAGTAGCGTTACTGTCCAAACTATTCAGCATAGTGGAAATTCTAGTTGAATTTGTTACTTAGGCCTTACTGAACAGCCACTAGAACCTGTCATCTATGTGTCACAAGCTCGCTGACTGTTTGGGATGATTGAAACAGTAGAGAGGACAACAAGCAACGGCTCTAAATGTTTTTGGGACCTAACCGAAGCTTTTGATAGCGTCCAACACAACATCTTCCTTGCTGTACCTACAAAAATGAGCATCATAGAACCATTTACAGAATAGTTTATAGCATGCTTAGCGGTAAGAGAATTTGGAGCGAAAGTCAACTTAATTCGGTTAGTCTAGAGTAGCTCAGGGACGGAAGTTTCTCGAGGAGCTTTCATTCGACCACGCCTGTCTTCACCATCTATAAACGACCTTCCGTTCAAATTCTTCCATCTTCCTGCTGATTTCTCGATGACAAAATATGAAGGGTGATAATTAGAAAAGATGACCCTAGGATATTCCAAGACAGTCCAATAATGATACCAGAAATAATAATAACCCCTAAAAGATTTTGATACTGCAGTTAGAGTCTCGGCTATCTGGGAATGGTCTCGACCCCGAATTACTAAGGTGAAGAGCGATTCATCGTCTAACAACAGGAGAGGTGGATATCAGGTACGTCATCACTAGTCATGCGATAACCATTGTGCTCGCAGAGAAGGACTAATCTTCTCTGATACACAAGATGCCAGTACCAGCTGCGAAAAAACGGCAGCAAAGAAGAATGCAGCCATAAAATTTCTAATAAAGCTATTTGGAGCCCTAACTCATAAATTGCTCCCCATGGTCCTTAAAATTTGCATAATACCACATTTAGCAGCGTTGATTATATTCGTCACTCTTCTACTTAAAAGGGACGCAAAAAATGGAAATGGTGAAGTAAAGGGCAACAGGGTCAGTTGTCAAACTAACCTGTAAAAAACACATACGACTTGTTTATCTTGAGCTATAGGGCTGAAAGCAACTATCTAATAACAGCCAACAAGATTAACTATTAGGTGAACCACTGCAATTAGACGACATTGATGGTCAACATCGACTGTCTCACTGAAAACCTCGTCATAAGTCCCTCAAGAGGGCTGAGACAGGAGTTGAAGGCCATCCTAACTTTTCCTCTAGCATAGTGTGTATGTTATGGGATGCTCTGCCAAAGGACGAAGCCACAGTTATCTCAGTTTACTCCTTCGAAGGAGTGCTCAGCTTACCACCAATATGTGACAATAGCAATGGAACTATTACATATCCATCCTCTATCACTCAACTCCAGTATCAATATCATGAGCCTACACTCTCTTTATCATCGTGAGCAATAGTTGCTCTACATATTCATTTTTTACCCATATATTTTCTCTACTCACTTTATCTGCTGCACTACTTTTCAAATAACGCCAAATAATCACTTACATGTACCTCTAAAAGACAGGAATTGAAAAAGGCTAATTGAAATTATCAGCAGCTGTGTTACTCCTCATATAAACTAGCCTATAATTTGCGACAATTCGCTAGAGAGGCAGCCACTATCTCCAAAGACATAGGTAGGTAAACTGGAAAAATTCTTCAGCCACCGAAGGAGTATAACCGAACAAATGGAACCAGGTCTCATGACACAGATACAAGATTTCAAAAGTTACACGTTTTCTTTGTTAACACCATTAATGTTTGGAGCCGTTGTAGTTAGCATCCAATATCCAACATATTTTTACGAGCTACCAATTGATTTCTTCGCGCTCGCTTCTAGGTCTAAGTGAGCGGTCGGCAGCACATAAGAGGTAATAAAATACAGTGGCAGAAAAAATCCAAAATCATACTACTCACCCGCAGTTGCATATCTGGCAAATACATAGTTTTGATGATTCTTTCCGCATAATTGCACTTATTCTGATTTTAGCTGATTTAAACTTGTTATGAGGTTCACCATTGACTACAGTTTTCAAATGAAGTATTAAAACGAAGACTTCTAACAGCATATGATAGAACAGACAAACAAGTGGATATCTGCAATATCCAAGTCGTTTTTAAAATGCTAATGAGTTAAGGGTTTTAAGGACGTTATGGAGCCTGTTTATCTTCATGAAAACAAGCTGTGTAAACAAAGCTTTCCTCTAGCTCACTTCTTGGTGTTTTTCCTGTTGTCTCTCACGAGCTGGTGCAGATGTTGGTCTGTTCATCCCATACTTTCGTAGAATATGGTAGCATTTTGCATCAATTTACTCTTTCAAGAAATATGTCGTGGTTAATAAAACCCTAAGATCAGTAGCCTTTTGTTCAGATGCGCTTGACATTAACGCGGATTTCCATGGTTTTGACTAACAATGTTGTGTGAACGTGCTCAATCAGGCGCCCATGTCATCCGACAATTCTTCATCTTGATTCCTTTTGTTAGCTGGTGATCCTACGGACAGCTCATATGAGGAGGCTTTTCTGCACTGTTGGATAACTACACGCTCCCTACGCAACAAAAGGCTTGTATTCTTCCTTTATATAGCACGGATAAGCAGAAAATAAGTGCACTGGGTTACTGACCATCACATGCTTCTGTTTACACTGCGTTCATAACTCCTGAGGACATTCGATTTACCCAAAGACGGTTCATCTCCTAAGGTAAGTATAGAAGGCATACCGCTTTTCGTTTGAATAGAGGCGGCCAGTAGTGACGAATGGCAGCAAAACCAGAGAAGTGACTATTGATGTCATTGCTGACCTACCTGATTGGGTAGTAATATCAAAACGAAATAATATACCGAATTCTTACGATGACTAATGCGGCATGTTGGTGTCTGGCGTTTGTGGTCCAATGTACAACCTACTTTGTCTTCATCTGTGTAATAACAATAATAATATTAATAAATATTTCATGCAATATAAGTTACATGAATACAAACCAGTTTACAGGTTTGTTCATTTTGGTAGTGAGAAATGACTATTATGTACAATGTTAAGCTACACATTAGATACCGTTATTCATATCACATAGGAGGTGCGTCTAGAGGAAGAACCTTAATGCTTCGCAGAGTAATTGTTCAGCATACTAGAACAAGCTCGGTTCGAAATTAGGAATTATTCGGCTATTGTTTGAATCTTCCAATGTCCTTAATAATAATAAAAAATATTCATTCTCACATTAGTAATTTAACATGAGAGGAGCCAGTTTACAGGCATCATCGCATTGAGCAACCGTGCTATCACCAGAGTGTCCATGGAGAAAGATTTGGGGCTCAACTTCTCCGACACCTTGGACACCAGCTCCAACTACAAAGGTATGACAACCAGAGCGAACGCCATTCTACACTTTCTGCGCGGACAGCTTGGCGCCCTCACTCCCGAACTCTTCCTCACCATTTTCAAATCCTACGTGCGGCCGCACCTAGAGGTCTTCAATACGGTGGCTCCTCCAACACTCAAGAGAGACTCTAATCTCCTTGAAAGAATACAAAGAACTGCAAAAAATGTGTTGTGGGGCCAAGAGGAAAGACGTATCCTGAAAGACTTAAACACCTCAACCTATTTACCTTGGGTTATCGCAGGAAAAGGGGTGACCTCATTATGGCATACAAGATCGCCCATCAGGCAGACCATGCAAACAAATCAATTTTGCCTGCAACCCAACGATCTTCACGAGGAAACCCCATTAAGATAGCACACCAGAGAGCCAACACCATACTCAGGTCCAAATTTTTCTCCCTAAGAGTATGTGCTTTATGGAATGCCTTACCGCGACACATCGTTATAGCTCTTTCAATCGACTTATTCAAGAGGCGATTAGACAGTTATGTCACCTCGCATGGACTACCACGGAAGTACTCAGGTAGTCACCAACCTCAGTAGCCCCCAACTCCTTCCCAACTACCACTCACTATCTCTCTCCTTAATAAACCCACATTACCTACTAATTCTTCTGTAGGAACCAAACCCACGCGACCATTCGGGCAATTCCCAAATACTTTTCTTTCGTTCTCATTTCTCTCTTCACCCCTTCTTTTCTTCTCCTTCCCTTTTCTCTTCCCTACATTATTATTACTATTATTTTCACTTTTATTTATTTATTTATCTTATTTATTTGTTTTTTTGTTTTTTCACTCTTCCTTTATTTCTCTCTTCATTCCTTTACCACTACCTTCCTATTCTCTTTCAGGTACCTACACAGACAGGAGTCACGGTTGTTCTCTAAACTTCCCAGCAGAACGTAGCTCCCTAATCACTCTACAAATTACAACCTACTAACCCACAAAACATCCACCTCACCGAAGCTAAAAGCAAGAAAGCAGAGGGGATTTCCTCGTCCACTGCAGGAGTAAACCGAACGACTGTGTAGGGATGCGTGTTACAATTCCGTAACGATTGACCAACCCTACTTAATTTGATGTGCTCTAGTACCTGCTTAACCAGTACTTTACCTAACGTGTAAGTACTGGTAACAAAACACAAATCAAAAGAACTGATACGCAATGTATTTAAAGGAGCTATGTATTTAAGGTAAATGTTATAATAATGAATGAGGGAAAAGTTTAATCAACTTATCTGGCTTGTAAGGCTGAACTAGGGACTCGGAGTACGTGCGTGGTGATCAGCACAATGGAGCGCAAAAATGGCGTCCAAGCCTGCTCGGATGCATGCTCGTTAAAACAAAACTTAAAACACCCTAAGCATCCGGAGGCAAGCTAGAGATTTATTTAGTTAATTTAATTTAAACTATTTATTTTAGCCCTAGTTATATTTTGGTGCCAGGAAGGTGCACTACAGGTTATCCCCCTCCTAGAAGGTTGTTGGGATACCGGCAACCTTCGATCCTAGGAGGCGACTGCGAGGCGGACACGCAACACCTTTCCATATTGGTGATGGAGTAGGTGACGTGTGGGTCTCCGAAGCTAGTGCAACTATGCACACCTACGAGGTAAGATAACTTTGCGTCTAGACGCAACCCTTCTCGCAGTGGTGGAAGGTGACCCAAAGCCTCCGTCTACTTTTCCCTATTGCTTCTTAATCTACCGGGGGGTGTACAGGGGGAAATTGGTACAAAGAGAACCGAAGAACGATCCAAGTAGCATCGTCAGCGGCCAATTGTATCCAATTTTCAACGCATTTTCTAGGTTCTGCAAGAAGAAAGAAATGGGACATTAGAGTGCTAAGAAAAGGAAAACCAAACAATTCGAAGTGGGAGGAGTACAAAAAAAAAAATAATAACCAACCAAAAAAAGTTTTCGGAATTTAAATTGTATTTTTGGTTTTTCTTTTTTTTTTTTTGAAAAAAAAACTGTTTGCAAAGTAGTAAACATGACTTTTGAAAACTTTAGGTATGAAAACGCATTGAAAGTGTATGCCACGACAAAGTAGTTGAAACTCCGAATTCACCAAGTGTGAAGTTGCTCAGGGGCTAATTAACGAACTCGGCGTATCGCTTGGGCCAATGTACACGCCTCCCAGCACGTGTAGAGGTTACTGGATCAGTGTTACTAGACGTGGCTCTTTTAGAAGGTTCAGGATACGCGCGACTAAACGAGTCTGTTAGGGAGTCCGGCGGCAAGGGTCTGGGTGTGCCTGTGGAGGTGTCGCACAATATTGACACTTCATTGTTCAGGAGCGGTAACGCTGTATCTTCAGAGAGGATGAGTGTTGAAGTTTTCCAATCTCCTCGTCTGAATCCTGAAGTTCGGCAATCTTCCGTAAGTCGACTGCTCGAGGCAAAGTCGTGGTGCAAACGCGAGACAGTGCGTCCGCGACAGGGTTATTCACACCAGAAATATGACGGATGTCCGACGTGAATTGCGAAATATAATCTAGGTGACGTAATTCACGCGGTGAATATCTGTCAGTAGTGGTGTGTAAGGCATACGTCAGAGGTTTATGGTCGGTAAAGATGATGAAGTCACGACCTTCCACAAAATGACGAAAATGTTTCACTGAGGCATATATGGCGAGCAGTTCCCTGCCGAAAGTGCTGTACCGCATTTCGCAGGTGGATAACTTCCGGAGAAGAATGCAACTGGGATCCAAGTGTGATCCGAAAGTTGTTGCAACACAGCTCCAATGGCCGTGTTAGAGGCGTCAACCGCAATGCTGAGAGGTAGGTTTACGTCTTGATGCACCAGCATCGTGGCGTCTGCTATTGCGGTTTTGATCTTGCGAAATGCTTCTAGTGCCTCAGGAGTCAAGCTGAAAGTTTTACATTTACTTTTCAGCAGGTCGGTCAGTGCAGTCAAAATGTGTGCACATTGGGGAATGAAGCGACGATAATAGCTCACCATACCCAGAAACACACGCAGAGCTTTAAGTGACGCTGGGACTGGGAAGTCTTGGATCGCCTGTACCTTTTCAGGTAGTGGGCGAATGCCTTGCTCGTCGATAACGTGTCCCAAAAATTTTAGTGAACGAACGCCAATTTGGCATTTGGCCAGGTTGACTGTCATCGAATGCTCTGACAGTCTGGCGAAAACCTGTTTCAAGTGGTTAATATGAGTGTCTTCGTCTGGACTAGCGATTAGTATATCGTCTAGGTAGGCATAGGCGAAATCGAGTCCACGTAAAACATCGTGAATAAAACGTTGGAAGGTTTGTGCTGCATTGCGAAGACCAAAAGGCATACGGAGGAACTCAAAAAGACCAAACGGTGTAATGACGGCTGTCTTGGGAACATCATCAGGATGAACCGGGATCTGATGATATGCACGCGTCAAGTCAAGCTTACTGAAGATAACCGAGCCTTTTAAAGATGCAGTCAAGTCGTGAATGTGAGGGACTGGGTAACGATCTGGAATCGTTTTAGCGTTGAGCCTTCGGTAGTCACCACAAGGCCTCCAGTCCATGCCATTGTTCTTGGGTACCACATGCAAGGGTGAAGACCATGGACTGTTGGATGGTCTGATTATTCCCATTTCAAGCATGTGTTCGAACTCGGCTTTTACAGCACGCAGTTTCTCCGGGGATAATCGCCGTGGTTTCGCAAACACTGGCGGGCCAGTCGTCGTTATGT